ATTGAAATTGAAAGAACTCATATAGTTGATGGTGTAAAGTTGATAATATAAATGATTATTTGATGATAATATAAAGTTGAAACGATAATATCAATATTAGTGATAATATAGAATAGAAACGATAATATATATTCTTGAAGGTGTATAAATATTAGTGATAATATAGATATAAATATTAGTGATGATTTTTGACGGCCATCGATAATATAAATATTCTTGATATATGGTGTATAAATACTAATGTTGTTTTATTAGTTTAATATTGTTTTATTAGTAAAATATATCAATAAAATTGTGTTTTTGTTTTTATATTGTGTTTATGATTTTATATTGTGTTTATGTTTTTATATTCTGTCTATTCATTCAATGCTACTTGAATTTTATATGGTGTTTATGTTTTTCTTTAATATTATAGGTGAAATGGCTTCTAATGAGGAAAAATATCATCCCGCTTCTAATATTGATGGAAATGAATCAGCTCATGATATGGAGAATGATATTAGACGAGGAATAACAATTATAAAGTCAATAATTCATGCAAGAGATAAAGGTATCAAATTTAACGTACATTGGAATGAAGACAAACATCTAATTGAGCCTAACGGTTCAATGTTGACAAGTTACATTGGTTCCATTGTGAGGAGAGAAGTTCCAATCAGTTGTGATGATTGGAGAAGGCATGAGCTTAAACCCGTTAAAGAAAAAATATGGACTGAAATACAGGTGCAATATGTGATGTCTTTAGTTTTTATTGATGCTTATGTATATAAATTACTAACCCACTCTATGTATATTTTTTTGTAGAGGTCTTTTAACATTGATGATAATCGAAAATCATATTGTATTCAATTGGCCGGAAAAAGACTAAGAGGGTTTCGATCTTTTTTTACAAACAAGTTTCTTAGGGATGCCGATAACAATTTTATCGATGCAGAACTTCCAAAGGCGTATGCAGGATTGATTTCACCTGAAGAGTGGGAAACCTTCAAAGAAAAAAGAAGAACCTCAGATTTTCAAGATGTGAGTGGCGTGAATCGCCAACGAACATCAAGTCCCTCGTATTCATACAGAAAAGTGCGTATGAGATATGCACGCTTGCAACAAATATTGGTAAGTATATATAAATTATATGATATACTTGTTCATCATGTGTTACTATTGATTTATTATTTCTCTTAATATATAGTTAGAAGAGGAGAAAAGTCAAGAAACATCTCTTCCGGAAGATGTGCCCGGGTGGATAAGGATGGAGTTGTTAAGGAAGATGTGCTTCAAATTTATGAGAAATGTGTAAGTATATCAATATTCATATAATTAAATCAAAAGTTTATTAAAATATAGAATTTATGAGTTTAATCACCACTAATTTATTTTGCTATGCATATGAATTTCAGGAGAGTCTATCTCAATCTTTAACTCAAGCTGAAGACCATGATTACATGATCATACTTAGTCGAGTATTAAATGTTTGAGTATACCGGTCGTGTGAGGGGTAAAGGATTCGGGGTGACTCAAACATCTTTGGGTAATCATCAAAAGAGGAAAGGTCATAAAAATAAAGAAGTGATGGAAGAGTTAGAAAAATTAAAAGCTAAAGTTTGTGAGTTGGAAAATGACAAAGAAAAGTACATGTCAGAAAGGCAAAGTTCAAGGTTCAAGGATACTAGTGACAAAGATAGTATCAATTGTGATTTCCAACAAAAAAATTCCTGAGGTAACATATATTATTATGAATTAGCATAATTTTTTTAATTGACATATATAAGCATTAACAATTTCATATTTATTAATTTTTTAGGGCATTTCACCTTGTCATCTATATTTATTGTCACCGACTTATCGCATGGTTGGCAAGGGAAAAGTGCATAACACCTTGGGAGACCAAGCGGCCAATGGACCCGCTCTACCCTCCAGCTCCAAGGAACCCATATCACTGCCACGGGTCGACACCATCGACCTAGACAGTCGCTTCTCCGAAGAAGACCTCACGGAGCGGAAGAGAAAAGGGAAAGAGCCTATGATCGATGGAGAGAGCGTGTTCCCAGCAGCAGATAGAAAGGAGCCTTCGCATCCCATATGACCAATATCAGACGGGGATTTTGAGATCCTCCCCCTCGAGAGATATCCCTCCAAAGGAGTAAAGATTGGCGCCGATCTCCCCGACTTGGAGAAGAGATAACTGAAAGCATGCTTGAAGGAAAATGTTGATCTCTTCGCTTGGAGTGCAGCTGAAATGCCCAGACTGGGTCTAGAAATAGCTTGTCATCATCTGACAGTAGACCCTGCCCTTAAGGTTGTTGCTCAGCATAGGTGAAAGTAGTCTCCAGAAAAATTAGAGGCTATCGAGCAGTCTGTAAAAGATATCTTAAAGGCACATTTTATTTCTGAAGCTCAGTACACAACCTAGCTCTCGAATGTAAAGTAGCCAACCCCGACAAATATCGGGCGTTTTCTGAGTTTCTAACACCCAAATCAAAGAAGTCCATTCAGATCTTGAACGAAATGCTCACTTCACTTTCTCGTTTCATGGAAAAATCTGCCCAACACGCGCTCCCCCTCTTCAAACTTCTTTGCAAAGAGGTTGCCTTCGAGTGGACAGAAGAATGTGAGCACGCCTTCGTCCACCTTTGGCTGTGTTATGGCCGGCGGTAACGGTGTTGTCGAGGCCGACATTATTATCGACGGTGTTGTTGTTGACGTCGATGATACGGACGTTCATGTTGTCTGGAGTCTGGTCAGCCATGACAGTAGGGGATTGTTTAGCTTTGGTCTCAAGTGAATAGAAGACAGGGAAGCAAGTTTCCCACAGATGGCGCCACAGATCTTACCAGATCAGAAATGGACCGTCACAGCTGGCTCGGGCAGAAGTTAAATGAGATGGGGGGTACCTGCAAGACACTCTGATGGCAAAGTTGCAGAATAAGCAAGCAAGTATGAGTTTAGGGAGATGAATTAAATACCTTACCCTCTTAGGAGAGAGGGTATTCATAGCCTTCAGTGTTGGGCCAAGGTTCCCACTCTTGGGCCACGTTGAGGCCCAATAACAGGAACTGCCAGGGCTTACGTGTGTATGGAGTCCAGCAAGTGGGTTTCCCCCTGGTCAACTGCTCCGTGAGACTAGGGTTGGACCCGTGATTTCCAGAGGGCAGTTTAAGATGGTTGTTGTGGGATCGTGGGCCACGTCCTCCAACGGTCGGATGGGGAGTTGCCTAACGGTCCCTAACTTTGGCTGTCTTTGGGCTTCCCGTTCCTGTTCGAAGGGCAAGTGTAGTCCCAATCCATATCACTTTTCAACCAAAGCTAATCCCACACATACACCCAACCAACATTGTCGAATTTCGAAGACATGTAAAAAATCAACAATATCAAATAAGAATGACGAATAATATAACCATAAAGAAGATTCACCTCAAATCAAAATCTGACGAACAAGATAAGCATCATGAAAGAATGAAAGAAAAAACAGAATGGATAAGGAAAAGCTTCAATTTGTAAATATATAGTTCTGATGTCTAATGAGAAGAAAAACAAAGCAGAAAATATAAAGAAGATTGAACGGAGAAATGAAAGACAAACATTTGAATATTCATATAGTCACTTTTAAGAAATAAATTTGGATATGGAAGAGAGAAGAATATTTGTTAAATAATGAAAAATGAATTTCTGATTATAAGAATGAATTTTTTAAATGAAACATTTTAAATGCGTGCTTTAGTAAGAATCATTTAGAGATATTGGAAACATACACAATAATGACATTCAGCCTAGAAGCAGCCAAAAAATTAATTAAGAAAAACTAATTAAGAGTTAAAAAAATCTTAAAAAATCTTTAAAATACTTTAATTCCTTCAAATATATATTTTCTATGTAGAATGATATTATTAAAATTTATATAATAATTAATGTTTTTCAAAATTTTAAATAATAATTAATTAAAAAATCAAACTTACCATTAATGACCAAATTACCCCTAATTTTAATAATGGAATTAGTTTTTAAATAGTTAAATATATAATAATAGTGATAATTACTCTCTCTCTCTATATATATATATATATATATATATATATATATATATATATATATATATATATATATATATATATATATATATATATATATATATATATATATATATATTACCAGTACTGCTATTATCATTATGCAAGACACGGACAGACATGAAGGAATAAAAATGAGATATTCTTTGTAATACAGTATATGCTTTTTTTCACATTATCCATGGCATTTATTTTCTTTTAATGGAATTGAACACATTTCTTGTCATAAGAAATAAGAAATTGAAATAAAAATAATTATACTTTACTAGAAAAAACTAAAAATTAATTGAACGCATGTCTTTTAATTGAACGCGTTTCATATATACATATAATTATACTTCATTAGAAAAAAAATAAAAAATTGAAATAAGAAATAATGTTGAAAATTTTAAAATAATGGAATAAGAAAGATGTTGATAGAAAGAAGATAAGATGCTTTTTTTGGGTCATACATAATATCTAAACTCACATTTTAAACATTTAAAATTAATTTGATATTTTAGATTTAATTATTATGGCATAAGATCAGTTAATTATAAATAATAGTGTAAAACTATTTTATACTATAGGAGTATCTATTAAACTCAAAAAATAATATAAAAAAATAGATGCTAATTTAAAAAAATTAAATGTTAACCAAAACCAATCATAGAAAACAACAATCAACCAATCAAGTACTTCCAACAAGATAACTCAACTCAACCCATCAAGCTTTTTATTTGATAACAAAATAAAGCTTAGAATAGAAGCAATAATTCAATTTCAATATCAAAAAGCACTGAACCAAAAATGCCAACGACATATTCACATCACATACACCAAAAAAAGAAAGTGATTACAAAACTGATAATATTTCTCATAATTCACCATAACCTAACAAAAAAAACTATATGATAATGATATGTCTCCTCTATTATATTTCTAAACATAGTAATTTCATCAACTAGATTGAAATTGAACATCCTTTGACCCAAATCTAAAATTAGAACAACTAGTATCCTTAACCAAAAGTGAAGAACTAAATCCAACCATAGAACTATCCAAATCTATTTGAACCAAAACATCTTCCAATTGATACCCTCCGATCACAATAGGATTCTTTAATTCATCACCACCATCCAAAATTCCCAAACACATAACATCATCATTCACTCTCACCATTGAGTTTCTCCCATAAATTCTCCATTTCACCATCTCACTTTGCAGCACAAAATCAATAACGGGCACATCAGGACCAGTTTGTGACTCATCAACTCCTCTAGAATCAAAACAAATTTCAAATGGTGACACTGTTGAAGCTACTCTAGACACGTTGATAGACAAAGCAGCTTTTAAATAAGCACTTTTGAAATTTGCGTAGATTGAACTTTGCATGGTTGTATAAGGCACAACGGAACTCAGTTTAGTTCCATCACCATAACCATAACCCTCTTGAGACAAAGATGGAGTGTTGAAAGAGACCTTTTTGCCACCGATTTTGATTGAGTTTACGTTGATGAAATATTCATTGTTTTCGTTGGTGATAAGTGGTGTGAACGTTAAAGATCTGAAAATTTTCTCAGATTCTAAAACCTTGTTTCTTCCGAGTAGAACAAACCCAGAAGAAGAAGAGAGGCAAAACGTGATTTTTCTCTGTGAATCAACTGAATTGAAAAACTGTGATGAGAAAGAAGTTCTAGATCTACCAAACCCAACAATGCCTTTAGCATCATTAGATAACGCATTCAAGAGAAGAGAAGATGAACAGGCAAAGACAAAGTCAAGGGTAGGTTGAAAAATTGAATCTTTGGTTGACTTCAATTCCAGAACATCTTCAACAAGAACTCCTTCAGATGCTGATATCCCTGTGATGGTGTTTTTGGGAAGAATTTCACAAGGTGTGTCTCGATCGTGATCTATAGGCCATGTTAGGGAGTGGCTTTTTGCTGTGAGACATTGAAGAGAACGATGAGGAATTGTACGGAGAGAAGAAGAAGAAGATGATTTTGTGGAAGAACAATCGAGCCAGAAAACTGAACCACTGAGATCAACGACAACGTTGGTGGAAACAAAGGGTGTTCCATGAGAGATTGTTGTTAAGTATTGTTGTGTTGTGGTGTCTTTTGTGATTGGGAGGAGGAGGGAATTTGAAGAGGAAGAAGTAACGGAGAGGAGAGAGAAAAAGAGAGGAAGGAAAATAGAGAGACAGGCCATTGAAGAATTGAAGAAGAAGGAAAGAGAACGGAAGTAGTTGTGTTGGTTGGAAAAAGGAATGGGAGTTGAATCGGCGGTGTGTCGCCGCGGTTTGGTTGGAAAAAGGTTGTTTGTTTGGTTGGGAATGGATAAGGGTTTGGGGAAAATAATGAATTATTATAAGTTGTTTTTGTTTTTGTTGTTTTGTGTGAAGTTCTTGTTTGCTGACTCGATAACACTATGTGATGCTAACGTGCTTATCTTATCCTTTCTATCTCCTCTCTCTCTCTCTAAAATAAAAGCTGCAAGGTCGGTTGTATAGTTTTGTACTATGATTAAGTTCACTAGTCAGCAAGTTTGAGGCTGTTTGATTAACATCAGACGGTTCTTGTTTTAATTTCGAAGTTTTATATTTTATCTTTAAATTTTAATCGTTGGATTTGGGCGGTTATGAGTTGTTGAACGTCTCATCAAAATCACGGCAAATCTTAAAGTTCAAAGAATATTTATAGAAATATTTTAAAGAAATTTTCATTCAGCAGCGAGGAGTTGAATCCACGAATTTCCTTTATGTGATCTCTTTACCTTAACCAGATTTATTTGAATACCTACTTTTATTTTCTTTGTCTATAAAACTAACATAACCGTATGTCCGCACGATCCACAAAACTTTGTAATTTGATAAACTAAAATAAAGTTTTGGTATAATAAATTGTAACAAAAGTGACATCAAAGTTATACAGATAATTAGTGATGGATTAGTAAAAAAAATTGTTCATGAACAACTTAAGGAAAAAAATTGAGATTGTAATCTCAGGGATAGAGTCCAATGCAATTAGTATTTAGGTTGGATGAAGCTTTGGAATATTTGGATGGATTTCAAGTTTTATAAATTTGAAAATTGAAAATGAGAATTTAAAATCTGATTTACTGTAGTTAGTGTTTGGAAATGTTTAGTTAAATTTGATGTAGTAAAATAATATGGTTTAAGTTATTATATAGTATTTCAGTAAGTTCTGTAGAAAGAGTTAAATTTGATGCAGTAAAATAATATGGTTTAAGTTATTATTAGTTAAAAGAGTAATTATAAATTGGAATTACATAAGTCAGATTAAAAATTAGTTATTTTTGAGAATCAAAAGAAGAAGTTTAATGAAGAAAAAAATTTATTAGGACTTTTATAGATATTTATAAATATTAAATGATAAATATAATTGTATAATGAATAATAACATTTATGTGTTTGTATATGTTAAAATAATTGTGTACGGTGAATTTGTACTCAAATCCATATTGAAAGCTATTTTGGATTGGCCCAATGACTAGAATTGGTTCAATCTGCTTCTACCTTTGGCATGGTCTAACATTCTGATCGACCATGTCCCAAGAAGTACGACCAGTAATGCCCGATACGTACGCCTGACCTAGCCAACACATATCTCCCCGTCAGCCCGACACGAGTCGAGCAGACAACCAGGAAACGTCCAGAACGCCTCTCTGTCTGTAATCTGCCTCCTCCTTAGAACTAACGGCTAGTTACGGGCACACCTGTCCGTTTTGACCGAGTCTTGGCAGTTACTTATTTTTGCGGACCCGCATATCTAGGTCCAAAAATAGGGACCAATGCCCAAGCGCCAGGGGCATTATATAAACTCTCACACGTGTGAGGGTCAGGTATCCAATATTTAAACCTTAAACCCTAATATTCTACTTGTATCTCTTTGCATTCATTTCTCCTCAACTTTCCAGCAAGCCAGATATCATTATTCGGCCCACTAGTAGGTTCTGATCACCGGTAAGATTAGTGGTGTCGTCTATCGGAATCCATCTTCTTTCCCCGTAATCCGAAGACCAAAGATACTTTCAACCCTTCGATCATGGCCGACCATGATAATCATCACCTTTATGGAAAGATTGTGCTCTCCCTGGTCCATAAGATCGACGGAAGCCAGGAACATCCTCACTTCGAGGATGATTTCGATGTCAAGGACGAACTGCATCCCCAGATTCAATCGACGCCCATCGCAACGAACATCAATGCTTGGACAAGGAGCGTCCCAAGAACCCTAGCGAGGAACTGTCAGAGATTCTGCAACCAGTTCCTGTAAGTGTTTGTTGGCAGCAATTTTGGTAAAACAAATGACTTGTTAATGTTTTGCTATATGTCTTAACATTTGGAGCAAAACTGTTTTGAATGATGTCAAAGAAGATGTCTTGACATCTGCCTACTGAACTGATCTCAGCCCAACATTTGTTTTAAGCCCAAGCCAATAGCTGCGCATATATAAGGACTTACTTCCTTATTCAAAGACAAGCAACTTTTGAAGAAGAATACTTTCTTTCTGATTAGAAGTCTAGGCTTTTTATTTATAATACACTCTAAGTATTAGTTTGAATACTTGAGTTGTTATTTGGATTGTTAATTGTGTATCATTCATAAGCTTTTAAGCATTGAATGATTGAAGTGTTTCAAACTTATTCATTATGTTAAGTTCTTCACTGTAAGTGATTGAGGGGATTTGAGGATGGCCCCATACCTAGGTGAGTCTTAGGTAGAAGTTTAGCTTGGATAGTGATTAAGTGATTAGATCGTAAACTGGTTGTTTACTGGGGATCTATGAATTGATACTATTTAGTGAACTTGTCTCTGGCTTGGTAGCCCTAGAGTAGGTGTTATATACACTGAACTGGGTGAACAATCTCTTGTGTTCTTACTGCTTTTGATTTTACTGCACCTTACTTGCAAACAGATATTTGTGTCGTGACATCTCATTCGATATCACATATCTAATACCAGAATTTCAATTGGTATCAGAGCAGACATCCTGCTCTTTATCTAGGTGTGATCCAGGGAAGATACTTTTTGGTACTATGGACAAGGAAGGAGGATTTGTGAACATACCACCCATTATGGATGGAAGCAATTATGACTACTGGAAACCACACATGGTTGCCTTTTTAAAGTCCTTAGACAGCAGGGCTTGGAAAGCTGTTTTAAGAGGATGAAAACACCCTATCAAATTGGGAGAAAATGGAGAACCTACTTCTGAATTAAAACCAGAAGAAGATTGGTCTAAGGAAGAACATTTTCGTAATAGTGAACACATTTGAAGTAGCTAAAGATGCATGGGGAATTCTCCAATCTACTCATGAAGGCACATCCAAAGTTAAGATGTCAAGACTTTAGGATCTCACCATAAAATTTGAGAAATTGAGAATGAAGGATGATGAAAGTATTAATGACTTCCATATGAATATTCTTGAGATTGCTAATGCATCCAGTGCTTTAGGAGAGAAAATACCTGAAGACAAATTGGTGAGAAAGATGCTCAAGTCTCTTCCCAAGAGATTTGATATGAAAGTGACTGCTATAGAAGAAGCTCAAGACATTGACAAAATGAAAGTGGATGAACTTGTTGGATCCCTTCTAACATTTGAATTAAGCATCAATGAAAGATCTGAAAAGAAAAACAAAAGCATAACCTTTGTATCAAATACTGAAGATGAAGAGGAGGACTGTGATCTGGATAAAGATGGAGGAATATCAAATTCCTTAGCTATGCTTGGAAGACAATTTAATAAAGTGATAAAAATAATGGACAGGAACCAAAGATCAAATGTCAAGAACATCTCATCTGACATCCATAAGTCAAATGAGATGGGAAGAAAAAGAGCTGAAGAAAAATCTTCTCAAGGGAAGGGAATACAATGTCATGAATGTGAATGTTTTGGGCACATTAGAGCCGAATGTCCTACATATCTTAAGAAACAGAAGAAGAATGTATTTGTTACTTGGTCTGAAGAGGACTCAGAGAGTGATCTTGAAGAATCTACCAAATATGTTAAAGCATTGACAGACAAATATGTATCTGATGAAGAGTCTAGTGATGGGGAACTAACTTTTGATGAGCTAGCTGCTTCATACAAAGAATTATGTATCAGAAGTGCGGAAGTATGTCTTGAAGGGGAGAAACAGAAAGCCATCATAACTCAGCTAAAGGAGGAAAGGGAAAAGCATCTTAAAACTATTTCTGATCTGAAAAGTGAAGTGTCCTCTCTAAATTCAAATCTTGATAGAATGGTCAAATCTCTCAAGATGCTGAATAATGGGTCTGACACATTAGATGAAATTCTCCAAGAAGGAAGAGTGACAGGAGATAAGAGTGGTTTAGGTTTCAATGAGAAAAAGGAACCTAACTCAGAAGAGCCTTCATCTGTTTCCACTCATGCCAAGCCTAAATCAAAGATGTTGAATCAAATGTCTCAACATGTGGGAAAACATTATGGTAATAAAAGACATCTTGGCAAACATCATGTGAAGAAAGAACGTCATGGCGAACATCCTTCATCTGTTTCCACACATACCAAACCTAAACCAAAGATGTCAAATAAAATGTCTCAACATCATGATAAGAAAGGACATCTTGGGAAACCTCATGTGCAGAAAGGACATCATGACAAACATCATGGGAAGAAAAAGCTTAATCACACCAGAGAGAATCCCCAGCCCCGGAGATGCCATCACTATAGAAGGCTTGGACATATAAGGCCCTTCTGTTTCAATCTGTATGGGTATCCTAAAAATACTCCTCCCAAAACTGATAAGATTCCCCAAAATAGAAAAAAGGAGAAATAGTGGGTTCTCAAGTCCAAAGTTGGTAGTTTCATTGCTCACACATCTCTCAGAGTATCAACCAAAGATGATTGGTACTTTGACAGTGGTTGTTCTAGACACATGACGGGTGTCAAGAATCTGTTGGTAGTACCTCTGACCATTTTTAACTTAGGTGTCGACGATCATGTTCGATTGTGTATCTCTCTAAACCAGAATATTCTTCCTCTTCTATTTTCAGGAGACCACCGAAAGTTCAGCACCAAAAACTTCAGAGACACAAGACTCTGCTGAACACAGTAGACAACAAGAGGAGGAATTGGAGAACGATGAAGCCCTTGCCGAACCAGAGGAACAACAACCAAAGGAAGCTCAAGTGGTCAATTTGACAGAGGAGCAACATGACGAA